GGGGTACCTTACGTCCGGGGAGATGTCCGGGGGAGTTGTCCGATCTCCGGACCATTGGTAACATAGCCTTCAATACATTATCAACCTCATCCCTCAAGACTGGAAAGACATCTTGTGTGAAGCGTTACCGTGGAAATCTGGAGAATGGGGGGTTAAGATACAAGAGTCCCCGCCTTCACGAGCCTTCAAATTCTTTGACATGCAACCGGGTTCGACAACTACAGCATTCTTCTCCTCCTTCCCGATTTCCCCTTCTAAACACGGAGCAACATCTATATTAAATAGAGAAGTGGAAGTGACACTCATGGACTTTTATCTACTCAGGAAGGTAAGAGTACTGGGATCATGGCCTAAATCAATCTTCAGAATAGGCACGTCAGTCCAGAACCTGGAATTTGACCCTGCAGAATGGCTCTGGTCACCGGATAAGGAAAGGAATGTCAAGTCCAAGGTCCCCATATATGACTATACAGTTAAGCTCGGTTACAAACTCCTAATTAAAACAAAAGACCCAGATCCCACAATTAAAAACAGATGGCAAAAACTAATAGGCCAGGAAGCCGATAAAATTACACAGATGTTATGAACTTGGTTGTTTGACAATTTGATTGCCACTCACACACATAAGAACTCACACACGCCCATACATGCATGAGACAAAGGGGAGGAAGAGACAAAGTCCACCTGCACACAGACCAGAGATGAGCAGCGGAATATCAACCATGCACAGATGGGGAGAATACACAGTGTTCTCTCTCTCTGATGAACTCCCAACAACCAATCACAAGATGACACTGTGAAGATCACAATTGGAAAGTAACCCAGATGATGAGCCAACTCAACTCAATTAACCCCACTTGTCGTTTCAGAGTTCAACCCAGTGTCTCGCCACCCCAATACCACACACTCCACTCACTAATCCACTCTTAGAGTCTAGCGCTGCACTGAAACAGCCTCCCAGAGGCCAGCGCCATACACCCAGATGAAGATCATGAACAGCGAGGTAGTCCCCAGTGCCGATGAGTCACTCTGACGATGAAGAAGGCAGCTATGGCTGCCTGGCTGCTACCATAGCAGCAGTACCCACATGTACTCAGTGAAGACCCTTCGATAGTCCTGCCAAATGCAGATATCCCCTGGGGATAGATGCGCTGAGCACAGCCCCAGCTATGGCTGTCTCAGGTAGGCCGGCTATGGCTGCTTCACGCAGCTGATGTCGCAGGTGCCGCTGTAGACATTCAGCACTGCTAAACTTGGGTGGCCACGAACGCTGCACGCGAAAAATGAAAAGCCAAAAGTCCCTACTCGATTCTTCTACAGGACTTATAGACTTCCTACACTAGCCTAGACCTAGACCGGACTGACTGGACCTGCTGGTACCGTTACTGTTTCGGCCTCTCGGCCTCTAACGTATCCGGCTATAGGCTATAGGACCGTATAGCAGTATAGGCCACTTAGGGCCTGTCTGCAATGACTTGCTGATTTCTGCTGCCGAGTTTGTCTGCGAGGCTGTACACTAACCGTAGGGTTAGGTTCGCAATTTTTGTTTGGCTGAGGGCTAACCGAGTGACTTGCCTGTTGGGAAATTCGCGAGGGACAG